TTCGATAAAATTGTTTAAATTTCTAGAATTAGTTCTTAGTATTGGACCGGACACTGATTTTCAGCAATTGTTTGTTTGCTTTTGTTTATTAATATGAATTGATGAGCAAATTTCGCCAACAAAAATCTAATTTCATTTTTTCTAATTCATAAACTCTATAAAATTAAAATTTAGCACAATTTCAATGAACCTTGGTGGTGTCACAAATAAAATCAAGTATTCTCGTAAATGGAAGAGCGTATCATTGATATAACGGTGCCGTTAAAGAACTGCATGAAAAACAAAGTGTAAATAAATATCAGGATAATTAAATTAAGTGCAAAATAAAACCGAAGACTACATTGCATTCAACGAAATTCAAATAAAATCAAAATGTTTTGCTCGAGAATTGATTCGCGGATTCTGTGGTCTGTTTGTTTGAACACAACTAAACTGTTTGTTTGGATAATAAGTTCTCTTGATTTGTGCAAAATTATTATAAAACGTTCACTCAATTGAGTCCATTTATTGGCATTCAGTGATTGGCAGCACTGGATTAGGTGACAGTCGTGGCCACAGTTGTGCTCGTATTCGTTGCCTTATGGAGAAGTTCACTATTGCTTTTGCAATCCTGTCGCTCCTCTTTGAACTTATTGTCCTCACTATTCGCGTCTGAATTGGACTCAAACTTGTGTTCACTATTGAGTAAATGGCACGAATCGTAACATAAATCCGGATCACCGTATGGTGTGATCGGCGTTATCGATGGATTGAAAGGTATGTTTGGATCTGAAACACACAATCGTTGCAAATATTTATTCATTAATAATCAATTGACAAAAACTGACAAGTACAAATAATTCTGTACTGTATATTAAATAATTTGTACATTTCTGTTTAAGTACTCAAACTTTTGAAATGTGTAAAAATGTCAAAATTAAACGACATTTAAATCAATAAAATCGTGAGCAATGAAGTGGACATACCTATGCATAAAAAAACAGGTTCTCCCGCATACTGGCCCTTCCCGTATGGGTGCAGATGAGGACATCGTTGTTCAACGCGCTCACAGAAGGATCGACACGGCTTTATGAGGCCTCCA